AACTCAAAACCTTAAGGCAATAGGTGGATCTTTCTCACTTATAAGTTACTCAATTTTCTCATTTCTATCTAATGTGGGACTTCAAACTCACACTTAATTCTCAACATAAAGAACAAGAAAGATAATGGAGATATCGAAAAGGAGTTATAAAATCAAAGAAGTATGCAGAAACAGTTATAACTTCATAATGTGACAAAAGCAGTTATAACTCCATAACATGATAGAGACACGGTTACAAGTACTACGTGTGATAATGTAACTACTATAAAAGGAGGGGAAAACGGTTAATAGGGAAGAAACAATTTATTTTATTTTATTTTATTTTCCTAGTGGTTATATCAAAATAAAGTATACGTAAGATCAAATAAGTGTAATTAAGAGTGATGATAAATCGTATTAAGACACTTACAATATGAAAAAACAAAGTGGACAAGGAAAAATCTATTTCAATAGAGTTCTTGATAATTTTGGTTACCTTTGCATTTTTCGGATAGCCGAGATTCGACGTTGATTTCCTATTTATTTGTCTTTCATTGATTTTCTTTACCAGATTTTATTTTATCCTTCGTAATTTACTTTTCTCGCATATTTACTTTTCTTGCACATTTACATTTCTCGTACATTTATATTTCATGCACATTTACATTTTTTGTCATTTACATTTCCACACTTTAATATTTGAAAAAATAATGAAAATCAGAATTTATAATCAATAAAGTTTTATAAATATTTTCATCAAATTAATGTGAAATATCCCCAAGTTGAATGATTAGCATGGTTGTGTTCTAAGTTTAATTTTATCAATTTTTGTTTTATATTTGATAATTTACTTTTCTTGACATGTATCTTTCTTGCATATTTATCTTTCTCGCACATTTACATTTCTCACACATTTATCCTTCCTGCATATTTATATTTCTTGTCATTTACATTCCACACTTTAATATTTGAACTAATAATGAAAATCAGAATTTATAACCAATAAACTTTTATAAATATTTTCATCAATATGTGAAAGATCCCTGATAAAAACTTTACTTGCTATGCTAAATAAAAATAACTCACAAGTAATAAATTGGTTCATTTTGGAAAGTTGATCCATCTTGAAAAATTGGCATGCACTGAAAAATTGAACAATTGAGAATCATTTAGACAAATATACAAAGAAATATAATACCATTTTCATTATAAAACTTTAAAGTGTCAGATTTGTGTGTCATTTTCCCTTATATGATATTTAATTTTACTATTTTTACCCAATATTGGATTTTAATTCACACCTAAAATCTAACACTCGTCCTCAAAATACTTGGTCAAACATTTTGGCAAAGGAATCTGCACACAAGATAAACATACAAGAATATAATACCATCTTCAATTTAAAATATTTGGTGTGTCTTTTTCATTTATATTATTCAACTTCACAGTTCCATCTAAGACTTTAACTTATACTTAATTCTAACCATACCACATTTACGATAATAATAAAATATCAACTAACTATAGTAAATATTGGTCAATAAATGTAACCTTTTAGTTACTTATTCATATATTCATTACATTTTCGTTAAATAAAAGGTAAGTAATATTGGTCCATTCAAATTTGGCTTCAAGTTTTTGGCAGGATGCCAAACTTAAGGTTAATTATATTAAAATAAATAAATTAGTAATGTAATCATTAATGTAAAAAACAAGATCAAACTTTATATTGATTTTACAATAAACATAGACCACATGACATAAATTATTAATATAATTGTCATAAAAAATTTATTTCTTATCGACACTGTATCAAACAACTTGAAAGTATCAACAAATCCTAAAGATTAAACACAAACATTATTCATATAGAGAAACATTTAAATATAAAACATAGAAAATTCTGGTTTATGTTAAATGAACAATAATCCTTCACAAAATTCATAAGAAAAAAATTAGCGAACATTTTATGTGTATATTTAGTCGACAAAATATACTATTAGTATATTGAGAATTTATATCCCTACAAATTAATGAAGAAAATGGAAATAATACTTATTTTTATTGTGTGCAAGGAAAAAAAGTTACAAATGTAATTGTGCAGGTTTGATGAGGATTGCGCCCAATGTTTATTCTAAGGGATGACATCGACTTTAGATTGAGAATTATTTCACTTTGGTGGTTGCAACATTCAATACCAGTGAGAGGTACCATGGAATATTATAAGTAGGTGGTGTGAGTGTTTGGATCTTTACAATCAAATCTCATTATGTATCACACATCACTTGTCAATAATTAGTTGGCTATCTTTTTCATTCGTACTGAGTACGGAACCAAGGGGTTAATATCTAAAAATTAATTAATTATCATATTAAAAATATATTATATATTTAATATTACTAATTGAATTTAAATTTTAAAAATAAAGTTTATTTTTGATATCCTTAAAACTTAAACTGAATTAAGTCTAACATCATTACACTGTACATACTAATTTATTATAATAATGATAATAAAAAAAAGATTTGATTATTATTTTTTACTTCAAAAGAAAATTACTAGTAGGTATCTCTTTTATTTTTTTTATTTTTTTGTCTTGTGCATTCTTGAACCGATGATAAAAAATACTAAAAAAAATTATAATTTTTATGTTATAGAGATGAAATTATAAAAAAGAAAATTTTTTATGTTATATGGCATAAGGTAAAACTGTGAAAGAGAAAAATATGAGAGTGATTGAGTAATAAAACACAAAATAGAACTATGAAAAGATAAAATGAATATTTGATAGAAAAAGTTGTTGGAAAAATGAAAAGGTGAGAGAAGAAAAATAAAATCTAAGAATAAAATGAAGGAAAAAAAAGAAAGAAAAATGAGAAAAAAATGTAAGTTAAAAATTAGGTAAAAAAATAAATATAATATTTATTATAAATAATTTTTTTCAATATGAACATAGTTTAAATGGGTTTTGATTTATCTAGTCATTCATGATTTTTGTTTTTTCTTTGAATTTAATACATGCTAAGATATTACATGAGTCTCACGTCATTAACTCAAGTCAAAAGTAATTCATATATTCTCTGATAAACTAAAGTATTAAAATGAACAATATCTCAAGAATAATAATTAATAATATGATAAACAAACATGAGATCAAGATGAATATGTTGTGATATCCTAGTTAGGATAATAAGTTTCATAACAATGTCATACATGATAATTTATTAAAAAAGAAAAAAAAAAGTGTTTGAGCAGTGCCAATTAATAAAGTACCTCAAAAGTTTCACCATTATATATTTCTAATTGAAACAAGTTGTTAAATATAAAGGATTTGTTTAGGATTTACAAATAATGATTTCTTAACTGTGATTCCAATTAATGCTTATTTATAATTGAGATTTTCCTAATTTTATACAAGCTTGACTTTATTGAAAGAGAACCTAGTTATTCATGACTTGACCCTACTTGGACACGAACTTCCTTTATTCATACTTGAGGACAAGTTCAACTATGCTAAGCTTGATCAGTGAATATGCTGACTTGATTAAAGTCCATGAAAATCCTCACCACATGAACAATGATATCTTTTATCATGAAGTCATCTACAACTGCTGCAGTTCTACTGCTTTTGTTTACTCTAACTGTATTATTGTTGTGATATTTCTTATTAGAATTTTTTATTAGCAAATAGTAATTTTCTTACTACCGTGTAGTGTAGGTATTTTTATAGAAGGATCAAGGAATTTTGGACACAACAATGATTTTCTTCTTTTTGTTTTTTTTTCTAAGAAGACTGATGAAAAACATGACTTGGAAGACGTTGTCATCCCAAGTACACTTGCAGAGCAATTATTTGAACCAAATTAATGTGGTGGTTGCAACAAATGAGTTTTCATTATAAAGGACAATGCCATTTACTGATACAGTTACTTGCCAGCCTCTGATAAAGGCTCATACATGCATGGTGTTGTTGACTCACTCTAGCATATAGACTAATTATCTGGTTCAATTTTGGAAACTGAACTTGGTTAAGCTTAAACGAAGCATTATTATTCCACCAAATCTGAAGCTGAACTGGGTGAGAGAGGATCTGTGCTTGTTGAAGGCCTGAAGATTAACCATAATCCTCAGCAATTTGACCATTTCAGGTTACTTCTCTTCCTTGCTGTATTTATAGTTATTATCTTTTTCAATTTGGATGCATAGAAAAGACTTTTATATAGCAATAATTTGGTACTAAGTGTTGGTTAAGTAGGTTCAAAAGTTTTTGCAAAGTATCTAATTCTGCTAGAAGGGGCCTTGCTTGTTTACGTGATTCCATTGCTGAGGATTAATTCTATTCCTCAACAACTTCACCATCTCAGGTTCCTTCTCATTTTCTCTATGTAGTTCTTTTATTTTTAGATTCCAAACATACAAGAATATCAATCTTATTGCTGATCAGTGGTCAATATATATGTATTGTATTGTATCTCATGATACTGTTATGTTATGATAATCATTTTGAAGTGCCTGCTTCTTCTTTTTTGTCAAGTATAATGTCTATTCTACTATAGTTTAAATGAATTATTCAATCTTGGTTGTTTTTATACAAACATTACATGTATTCTGTATGCTTTATCCTGAAGGTGGTATACCCTAAAAAAGTTGTTTTTTTTTTTTTATTGTATTTGAGTCATTCGTATTATATTTTTTCCCCTTGGTTCCATAACTAGGAAAATCTTAAAGAAATTTATTAAAATAAATCATCAATTTAGGTCATAAAATATCACCCTCTCTTAAAATAATCTTTAAATGAATAAAATTTTATAAATGGTCTCTAAATTGAAGTCTTCCAAATTACACAATCTTTTAAATATTACCGTCAATATAAATAAAATATATCAATAAATGGATATTCAATATTTTGAAAACTATTTCTATTTAGGAATAAAGATTATTGACGGATTAAAATATAGTTTATTTAATTTACTATTATCAATCTTGATTTATCAAATCCCATGCCACAGAAATTTAACCAGATGGGGGAAGGACAATCAAGTGATTCACTTAGTAAACAACAATGTTTAGAGACAAAATTGGTTGAGATGCTTCAAAAGGTGGAACCTCCAGAATTTTATCAAGTCAAAATGCAATGCATTTATAGAGTACCACAAGAAGTTCGTGATAATAATCCGAAAGCCTACACACCTCGAGTTGTTTCCATTGGCCCTTTCCATAAGGAAGACAACAATTTTGAGTTAATGGAGGAGCTTAAGTTGAAATATTTCAAGGGATTTTTGAATCGAACTCAACTACCGTTGAAAGATTTTGTTGCCACACTAAAAACTATAGAAGAAGATATTCGAAGTTGTTATGCAGCACCTGTTAAATATAACAGCGATGATTTCTTAAAGATGATTTTAATTGATGCGTGTTTCATAATTGAGCATTTTCTGAGATGGCATAGCCGCAGTGATTGGGGTGGAAAAGACCCTTTGTTGCTAAAACCATGGATGATAGGTGATATTGAACATGACTTGATACTATTGGAAAATCAACTTCCTTTCTTTGTTCTTGAACAACTTTACAACCTCACTGGTATGAATAAACATTTCCCTTCCTTTCTTAATATTTGTTTCAACTATTTTTCGGACCTTATGGTTGGAACCGTCTGTCCAATAGTGAGTCCAAAGCACTTCACTGATCTATTAAGATCTTCCATAATATCGTCAACAAAACTTCATTTCCAAGAACCATGTAAAGAAATTAAACATGTATATTCAATGCAAGCCAACTATCACAGGCGGGTCTGAAGTTCAAGGTCAGTCCAAATCCAAATGAATGCTTACTTGACATGATCTATTCGGATGAGGGTGTTTTGACAATGCCAATCTTGAATATACATGACGACACAGAAGTAATCTTCAGAAATATAATGGCATTTGAGAATTATCACAGTCCTGATATAGACATCATTAACCAATATCTAAAGATTTTAGATTTTCTGATCAATTCTAAAGAAGATGTTAATGTATTGATTGATCAGAAAATTATTGTCAATTGGATGGGTGATGCCAATGCAGTGGCTACAATGATTAACCATCTGGGATCAAATCTTGCGATGCCAGAATTCAATTCACACTATTTTTCTCTATGCAATAGATTAAACAACTTCTATGAAGACCCTTGTAATAAATATAAGGCTGTGCTCTTACATGAGTACTTAAACACTCCTTGGAAAATAGCATCTACTATTGCTGCAATTGTGCTACTTCTGCTCACATTTATCCAGACTCTATGCTCAATCATCTCAATATTGATTTCATGGTAAGAAAATGGGTGGTTAAATAAGGGACAACGAAGTCTTCTGGTGAAAGAAAACATTTCATGATTGTATTTGAGTTTCTCAGTTGTACGTATAAGAATAACTTTATATAGATTGTTACTTTCTTTCATCAAATGATAAAGATTATTGCTACGTACCTTCTATTTTTTATACTTTGGTTGCTTACATTAACATTTTTTTTTCACTGGGCAATTTTATTACGAGCTCTTAAATAATTGTAAATGTTTTTTAAATTGTAAGTAGTGTTTTATTTTTACTATAATTATTAAAATAGTTTATATTATAAATCAGGATACACGTCAATATTATATCGATTTATGTATAGTTATTTTTTATGACATGGACTAAAGTTGTAAAGTTCTTCTAAATGGTAAACTTCTTAATCCAAACAAACACATGCTGATAATAATGTTTGAATGGATAATTATTTTTAAAGAGAGTTTAAAATGTTTTATGATTAAATGTATATTACTTATTAATAAGAAATTTTTTAAACAATGAAAATTTTAGAAATTTGTGAGTAATTTGATTATAAATTAAGAACTTCGAATTTTGCTAAGTAATTAAACTTGTATAATTTAGTTTTGTTTTTTAGTTTTTAAAAATAATTTTAGTAAACAATTTTAAAAATTTGTTTAGAAACTTACACTAAAAAAACATATTATCTACGAGGTAATTTACCTACATATTGTAATCATAGATAAATGTACTCGCTCAAACAAAATAGTTAGAAGTTAATATTCTAATCATTAAGCTATTAGGATATTCTAATAATAACATACAAATAAATTATATTTATATTTATCTGTGTAAATATATACATATAAAATATATATAAATACAAATATATTTATATATATTTATATATTTATATATTTATATAGTTATATAGTAATATATTTATATATTTACATATTTATCTATTTGATATAATTATTTTAATTTAATATAATTTACCTACGGATTATAATCAATATGTAATTTATTTATGGATAGTAATTTTGTAGATAATGGATAATTACCCATAAATAGTATTACCTACGGACAGTAATTCCATAGGTAATGGAGATGACATTACCTACGGATAATAATTCACGTAGGTAATAGATAATATTCGAGACGGATAATAATTACGTCGATAATAAATAATTACCTACAGATAACATTATCTATGGATAATAATTTCGTAGGTAATTAATAATTTACATATAGATAGAATTTTATAGATAATATTTATATATAATATATATTTTACTTATGAATTTTTATTCGTACGTAATATTTTATAGATAATAGTTTTTTAGTGATATTTATTTGCAGTAACATTGTTGGCTTCTACTTCCCAACCAAATACAATGTATTTCAAAAGCAAAGAAAACTCATGATATAAGGCACGTAGACTATGCATCTTTGCCTTCAATTGATTAGCAGTATACCAATGACAACCAGTTTTGAAATTTAAATTCAAAATCATTTAACACATTTCCTTTTTTTCACGTCAACAACCATAATATCTATGAACGCCTTAACTTCAAAACTTTGAATCACTATTTTTAGAATTTTTGAGAGTCTTTAAAGTACTCTAAATTAATAGGTAAAAATGATTTGTTTATTTTTAGTTTAAGAATTGTCTATACATATTTTTTTCTCTCTTCTTTTCTTATTTTCAATTTAAAATAAAGTAAATTAAATTTTACATTTTTATGTTTGTTTTTCTCTTCTCTAATTTTGGTTTTGTATTTTATTATATCAATTCATAAAATATTTTTTAGAAATCAAATTAAGAATCAATTAAATATTAATTTAATAATTCGATATATATTAAATTGAATGTTAGTTAATTGTTCAAATTTGGATTAAATCTTTACAGAATTATTATAAGATGATTATTTGTTGATTGAAACTATAGATTAATCTATCTTTATATTTTTCATTTTATTTTATTTTTACAATTCTTATTTTACATGTCCCCAAATTTAACTATTACAACTAGAATATTAAAAATTAAATATATCTCAATATATGTACTTGAGAAGAATAACTTATATTTTTACTTTATATTATAAAATCTTTTAAGTAAACTTAAAATATTTGATTTCAATGAAAATCATTATTTTACACTTAAAATTTAAATTACCCATAATGTAAAAAATAAAATTGAAATTAAGAAGTGGAAAGTAATAAATGAATAATATCTAACGAAGGTATTCGAATAAAAAGTTTACGTAAATATTTTCATTTATGACCATTAACTTTATAAAAGATTTACATGTAGATCCCAATATAATTTCAATACCTCCATATGGAAAGACTAAAATAATAATATAAGCACAATTCTATTTTGATTTTAGTTTACCAAAATTAATTTTAATCTAGAGTTAAATAATAAAATTAAATTTTTTTCTTAAAATATTTTTATGATGAAATTTCTTTGTTTTTTTATAAACATTTTAGAATTTTTAAAAGCTTTTAATCTTATTTCTTCCAACTCTTGTATTTGTAATAATATATATGTTCACCTACATCGTTTAAAGATAAATTACAAGTTTTAATAACTCAATAAACTTATGTTCTATTTCTACTATTGGAAGATACCATAATATTTCTACATGAAGACTTTTTTTGTATTAACATGATTACAATCATCATTTTTCATTTTGTAGTATGAAATTTCATGCCTTAAACAATTATATAATGTTTCAATTTTGTTTTATGTAATCATAATATATATATATATATATATATATATATATATATATATATATATATAATATACGCGTTACTATATATTTTAAATTTTATTATTTAAAAATGTTTTAATAAATAAACTAAACAATAAACTATTTTAAATTGTATGAATAATCAATCACATAATCTTATATTTAATATATATATTTTTTTCATATAATAAATTTTATATTAAGTATGTTTTTATGAATAAAATTTATGTAACACTATACAAGACGTGTAGTTTATACTACTTTCATTTATTATATTAACGCGTAGTTTTTATTCATATTTTGTTTGATTTTTGAGAAAAATAAATATTATAAATATTATATTACTTTTACATATTTAATTAAATTTAACTGTCTTATATGTAGGATATTATAGGTTATTAATACCTTACATATATTTAATTGTTTCTTGAATCTGAATTTAGTTTTAAAGACTCTTTTGTGTTTTAAAAATAATATATTCATTATCATGTCGTAATTCCGGTAATTATTATTAATATAATGTTATATTAATATATTAATTTCTTAATTTATTATATAATAAAAAAAAGTCAATTACTAATTATTTATATGAAGGTGTGGTTTTTCAACAAATATAACACTTGGCTTCCTCTCCTCAGCTACTCAGGCTAAACAATTTTTAATAATTTTAAATTGTTAGAAATTATTTCACTAAAAAAACCTTTTAGAAGTTATTTATTACGGTAATTTTTTTTAATAAAAAGACCAACTAAATCTAAATAAAATAAAATATTATTTAGCCTAAATAAAAGAAATACATGTCATAAGTTATGTCTATCGCGAGTTTTTTTTTTTCTTTCACAAACTTATTTCAATAAATTAAGATAATGTTTTATTACAAGAAATGCTTTTTCTTCTTTATTTTCATAAATAATTACAACAACATTGCTTTATTCACCATTTGAAAAAATTATATAAAAAGCGAAAGCAATCCATTCTCATTTGCGTATCTTCTAACCTAAATTTTAAAACATAAGAAATTTTTATATAAAAATTTATAAATTAAATATTTTTTTCCCGAAATTTAATTTAAAAATTTAAAATATCTCTTTATGCTTTTGTTTTGGTTTGCAAAACTATCTTCAAACAACAATGCTTCTAAAATCACCACTCTGTTATCTGACCCTAAACCGCCACCGCGCTCCATCCATGGCGGGAGCTACAGGAAGAACCCTCTTTACCTTCTCCCTCTCTTCCTCTTCTTCTTATTCTTCCCTAACGCGCTTCCTTGCCAAGCGCGCCCCACTACCAAAACCCCTCCCCATTCTCCCGCGCCACCGCTCCCTCTGCTCCGTCGCCGCCGCGCCGGAAACTGCCGATGCGAAGCATTCTTTGTTCCTCGAGAGGCTCCGGGCGCGACACCTCAGGGACGCCGCGAAATCCGCCCCCGAACCGAGGAAGAAGGCCCGGGCCGCCGCCGTTGCGGAGGCTGAGAGAGAGAGGGCGAAGAAGGAGAAGGAGGCTGCGAGTTTCGAGGAGTTGGGAGTGAGTGAGGAAGTTATGGGGGCGGTTAGGGAAATGGGGATTGAAGTACCCACTGAGATACAGGGAATTGGCATCCCCGCCGTTTTGGAAGAGAAGAGTGTCGTTTTGGGGTCGCATACTGGCTCTGGCAAAACCCTCGCCTATTTGCTGCCCCTTGTTCAGGTATTGTTTTGCATTCGTTTTGAAAAAATAATTTTCTCAGTATAGCTTGTGAGCTTAGAAAGTTTAAGATAGTAACCTGTCTATGTTTTACACTTACGGTGTTAGACACTGCCAATGCTCCTAGATAAATTTTAGGGTAAATGAGCATTTTGGTTCCTGAATGTGTGACAATTCAGTCCCAGAAAAAAAGAAGGCTCTGATTTAGTCCCCGATGTTGAAAAGTTCGATAATACATCCTTTTCTATAATCGAAAACAATTTCGTTTTTCAATTTTACAATTTAATTTCAAATTGGTAGTTAAAAATATAACTTATATCAAATTGATTCTTAATATTCCAGCTTAATGATGAAATGATTCAATGAAACTTAATTACACATACAAGTACAAAATAATATTTTCGGTCTCTTGATTTACACATTTAAGGACCAAATTGTCATTGATTTACACATTCAAGGACCAAAAGTGTCATTTATCCTAAATTTTATACCGATATATTTTTAATTTTTATGCTTTATTTAAACTTTTAAGAGTTCCATGGTATAACATTTATTTACTGTAATATTATGAGGAGGACTGTTGTTCCTATGAGCATGCTTAGCTGCCTTTTAATAATTTCCGAAAAATAATTAAAATTTATTGAATTGAAAAACGAAAAGTAAAAGTATGACGAGGTAGAAAATGTACTGTAGATGAACGGTTATGTTAGAAAGTGACTTCCATTTTCATGAGAATCTAAGATACACATCTTTCACCATGGGGATTAGAAGTGAGAGAAATATGTTACATGCATGGGATTCAACAAGAATAAACATATGCAAGGTTGCTTTTAGCGAAACTTGTACTAAACATGACAATGTGTTATTGCTTAGTTTAATTACAAAAATAACCACTCTTTTGATACCTTGAAATGAGAATGTGTTATTGCCTAGTTTACTATTTTTTTTACTATTCCTTAGTTAACTTTTTTCTCTTACCAAAATGAGACTGTGATGTTCCATAGTTCACCTCCCCGAGAATAAATTTTGATACCTTGAAACAAACACAATCTTAGACTGAACAATGTTTGCACGTACTTGTCTTGGAATGTTATTTAGCTTTAGCTGAGGCAAGCTTGTCTAGTCATGTACTGTGGCCGTGGTGACGCTGTTAATTTGTTGCTGTACCTGTAGTTGCTAAGACGGGATGAACAATTGAATGGAATACTGTTGAAGCCCAGGCGTCCTCGAGCTGTTGTGCTGTGTCCTACAAGGGAGTTATCTGAGCAGGTAAAATGCATTTAACTTGTACCTATCACCTTCATTAAGTTGGATTACACAAATTAATATGAAATGAACTTTATAGGTTTTTCGAGTGGCAAAATCGATAAGCCACCATGCACGATTCAGGTGTACCATGGTAAGTGGTGGTGGCAGGATTAGGCCTCAAGAGGATTCACTTAATAACCCCATTGATATGGTAGTTGGTACCCCTGGCAGGGTTCTTCAACATATTGAGGAGGGAAACATGGTATATGGTGACATCAAATACTTGGTGAGTAGCGTGCAATTTACAGTTTCAAATAGACAACAATGAGTGTAAGCTTCTCTTACTGATGGTGGTCTTTGCTTTGCAGGTATTGGATGAGGCAGACACAATGTTTGATCGGGGTTTTGGTCCTGATATACGCAAATTTCTGGGCCCATTAAAAAGTCGTGCTTCAAAACCTGATGGCCTAGGTTTTCAGACTATCTTGGTAACTGCAACCATGACAAAGGTGTGTGTGCACCATAATCTTGTTGCTACATGTAAATTAAATATTGTTTTTGGATATTATTCATAAAATGCAAGCCCTTATGTATAAATGTGCAGTGCAGATGTCCTTTTTCACTTTTCTGAATTCTAGACAATCCCTTTAATTTATAAGTGTAATGCTTTTTCATGATCAATTTTGACAATGAACTTCAGTTTTGACTTCTTTGAGTCTTGCAGGCTGTGCAAAAGCTGATTGATGAAGAGTTTCAAGGCATTGTTCATCTGCGCACATCAAGCTTGCATAAAAAGATTTCATCTGCTCGTCATGATTTTATTAAACTTTCAGGTTCTGAGAACAAGCTTGAAGCATTACTCCAGGTATACTTTTATATTTTCGCATGTCTTACAAATGTCAACCAATGGTTGATATTTTTAGTTGGAGATGTAATGTGTAATCAAGTGGCACGAAGTCTCTTTGGGATTTTTGGCCCTGGGTTCAAGTCTCACTCAAGTTGCTTTTCTTTCACTTTAGCTAATGAGATATAAGTCTAGGCTGTTGTTATTTTAAAGATGTGATGGTAATGACTGATTGTGAAAAATGCTAATTGTATTTCATTTTCTTATGATGCTAATTTTATCACACTTGACTTTTCTGTAACTATTGGCAAAATAATGGCTTGAAATTTGTTAATTGAGGGAATATGTGTGCACTAATTACTATTGATTGTATTAATTATAATTGTAATTACAACTTTAAAAAAGTACTAAATGACTTCTTTGAGCATAAAATGACTTAACACACGGTTCTGAACTAAATACTCTGAAAACTTAAGCTGTTATGTGAAGTCACATGAATGATTTAGCCATTGGGCTTGACATGTGAATAGTATGAAATCAACTTTCTCTTAGATATTGCGAGTGGCAAGGATCAAAGTCTAGACCACTTGGTCTCGTAGTGATCCTAATACCATGTCAGGAGCCACATATTCCAAAAGTTTGTGGTGGTGTTATTATTTTATATCTTTAGAATACAAATAATTAAAATTTTTATAATGATTGACAAACAAAACATAAAAACTTATAAAAAGCATGAGAAAAATGCAATACTTTGGGGCCTATTGCATGTTCTAAACACTTGGCCATGCAAAAGGTTAGAATGACCATCAATCTGTAATGCTTGCTGATCTATTGATATCTGTGTATCGCTGAGAAGCTTTAGAACAGAGATTGAAACATTTTTAATTGGAACCAGTGATGAGTACTTGTATGGCCAAGTTTTTAACACATTCAATGTTCTACTTTTGCATCGTTTCATTTTTATTTGTGTCCCACCTTTGGTGAGGGTGTCCAAATTATGATGTTTAGTGATTGGGCTATTTTATAAACAAAATGCACTTTTTATTTTATTTTGATGAAACATCTACTTTTTTGTACAGATTTTCTTTTATTTTCTTTTCACATTCAACATTTTCATCAGCTTTTTCTGTTTTGTAATAAAAACTATGGTGCATGCTTTTCAAATCATAGACCTTGAGTTATCAAAATGAATCACAACATGTGAGTCAACCTCTCCTACCATAGGTTCTAGTTGGTTTGGGTTTGGCACACCAAGACCCCAGGTCAATGAGCTCATGCATGGCTCACCCAAGTTCAACTGTGGTAAGCCAAGTTGGGGTGTTTCTTTTTAATCTTTTACTTGTTTAGAATTTGAATTGTTTTATGTTTGAAATTTCAGTAACTTCTGTTTTAAATTGTTCATTGTTGTAAGTTTTGTTAATGGTATTATGATAGGGACTTTGGAGGTATTATGGGGTACCGAAGTTCCACTTCGAGTAGTATGGAATGCTTGTTTGAGTATTTAAGTGCTTGATTTCTCTTTATTATCTAGGTTTTGAGGGTGGGTGTCCCAGATCCTTGGATGCTAATCCATGGTATCATATTTGGTTGTCGGTGTTTGGGAAAGGGTTACTTACAGAGAGTTCTAACTAAACCATGAGGGAGTTGAGTGAATTGTCAAAGAGTAAAGTGTGGCAGAGTGAAAGCTGAAACCTTGGCTCTTAGGAGCGATGCTATGTTAGGGACTTGGGCATTTTAAGTTATCTATGTCCTACATTGAGTAGTATGAGATGCCTGTTAGATTATTTAAGTCTTTGTTTCTGCTATCTTAATAGCTAGCTTTTGATGGTAGGTTCCCAATTACTTGGATGCTTATTAATTGTGCTCTGCTTATTAT